AGAAAAACAACTCCTAAACTTTTATCAAGGTTGGCTTGATATCCTCAAACTTGTAGGACAAAAAATTAAATGTTTTGTTTCAATTTACTTTATTTTCTATCATCTAAAAAATAAAATGGGTTTCTAACTAAAATTAAGAGGTTGTCAAGACTCTACAAGCTATTTCATCCTCCCAGTCCACTAAAAAAAAAATTTCACTTCACCATTGTAGTCTCTGCACCTTGAGGAAATGGTCAGTGAGCAGCGCTAAGGCTAACAACAAACCAAATAAACTTACCTCCTAGAATTACGAGGAATGAGTGCATGAATATGTCTAATAGTTATGTTATATTAAACAAAGCAATAGATAGCTATATAAAGTTTATGTTGTCTTAGTATAGAGGATTTGTACATCTTAATAGATAGCAATATTCTTGTATTTTAATAAATTATTTTTCTGTGTTTTGTGCTTGATCATATATTCTTGAGAGCCTATATTTACATTGACCAAGTCCACTAAACTTGCTCAATTCTTCCAATATTTATCTAGTCAAAATTAATACAAAATAGTGAGATTGAACAAAAACTATGCAAATTTTGGCCATACCTCATATCAGGTCCTCGTCTTCATATGTTATTCACTGTCCGTCACTCTTAGATGTTGAGTTTTCTTCACTGTCAAAATGAACAAATCTTAATTAGAATCAGAAAATAAAGGAAATATACACATTCACACACATAATACAAAAACAAGAACAAAAACTGAGATCAATTGATTGGTGGAAAGAGAAATAAAGAAAATAATTCACATAATAGTGGAACCTAACATCTATAGGAGTTTTTGACTTTTGTGTTTCGATTATTACAAAAGAAGAGATAATGTGTATGGAATAAAAAAATTTCAAACCGGCTAATCAATATGAAGTTAAAATTTGAATGGTCAAAAAGTAAATGAAACAAACTATAAGTTTTTACGGCATGTGTTGGAGGAATGATTAAAAGTCTAATTATTTGAAGGTAAAAAAGTGACTTTTTATATACTATTATTTGAAAAATTATGTATAAGTCTATCGATAAATCAATAAGAAATTAAGTGGTAATGAAGTGGATGCAAAAATAGAGTTAAATAATGGTTATATTGTAAACTAAATGGTTGGTGAAAAGAATTTAGGAGAGAGAGAATTAACTTGTGAAATAAGTAATATGGAACAATAATTTATGCGGAAGTGGAAGTATAAGAAGAGGTACTTTGAAATTTAATTAATATTTAATAATTAAATACATAAGGATATAGTTAGTTTTAACCTTTTTATTATGGATATAATAGTCAATCAAAATTTTTCTATTTAACTTCTTTTTATTAGTAGTATAGATATAGATATAGATAAACACTAATTAAGTTAATTAGGTCAAATCCAATATTTGCATTGGATGTCTATTTTTCAGAGAATTGTATGCGTGATAACATGGTGTAACGGTTACACCCTACCTTTGTCTTTCCAGTACCTGGTGAACCGCACATTCAATCAGGCCGATCGTTTGAGCATGAAACCGGATAGTTTTAATTAAATCAGCCAGTCATTAAAGTCTTATTAACATACAATTTTTTTGGGGCATTTTTAGCATAATCTAATCCGATTGTCTCTCATCTCACTCTCAGGCTATAAGGTCTCAGTCTCTCACTCGTCTTTCTCAGAGTCTCCCTGCACTCTCAGACTCTCTCCATTGGTGGAGCGTCCCAGGAGTCACCAGATTCCCCACCACCATCGTCGATCACTGTTCGTGACCAACATTGTCAATCAAGAAGGGTTTAAGATTTTGCTTCGATACACCCTTTCATTTCCTTTACTTGACAGGTATTTCATAACTCGTCTCTCTCACAGTGTCTCTGCATTCTCAGATAGTGATTGTTTTAGTTTTGGGCTAATGATTTTGCTTCCATACATATTTTTCGTTAATTATATTGTGAATATTGAACTCATTTCAGTGAAAATTTTGGCCTGTTTTTTCGTCAACCTGTACCTGCACCTTTGTGATACTACACCAACGGAAACTAACTTGACCTCGTTATCACTGATAAACGGCAGATTTGCAAATGACCCTTCCCTTCATGACTTTGGATTCTAATAGATTTCATGGCATGTGATTGCAGGTGGTAATGTGTGACCGTGTTGAGTTGTTGTGTGCATCTGGTTTTTTTTGACCTATTTTTTTTATCAAAAATTTTGTTCCACTGTTTCTTTATTTTTAATTTTCTTTTGATGTTTGTTGATCATGAATCATGAGTTCATTTTGCTAGGCAAATTGATTTGAGAATTGAATTATAGCTAGGTTTTTAATTATTTTCGTATGTGGATGTATGAACTTTGTAATGTGAGGTGAATCTAGAACTTGTATCATCCATATTGATTATTGAATATTGATAATTATTTTTAGCATATATTATCCTTAATAATTATTTATTATTATATAACCATAAGTGGTGTTTAATAAAATTGAAAGCTGAACATTGAAAATTAAATGCTAAATTTTAAGTGTTGAATACTAAATTTTTTAATTTGCAGACTATTTGATATCAACTGAAATTTAAGTACTGAATTGAATTAAATTGTTTGACAAATATAAGGAATTAAAGTCTAAAAATTAGTATTATTCTAATTTTGTCCTTCTTTTTAATCATCTTTTCGCAACCACCTTAATCCTATCACCATCATCACAATGGTGGTGCTGGTGGTGACGACACAATCATAGTGACAGCGATGGTGATTGTAATGGCACCCGACCTAATGGTGGGTGATAGTGGCAGCGGTGGTGATGGTAGTGGTAACGACATAATGGTAGTGGTAGTAGTAACAACATAATAGTGGTGGTGGTGGTGGATACGACACAGTAGTGGTGGTGGTGGTGGTGTTGGTGACGGTGACATAATGATGGTTGTAGTGGCATCAACATAATAGTGGTGGTGGTTGTGGCACAGTGGTGGCAGTGGCGGTGGCGGTGGCGGCACAATTGTGGTGGTAGTGATGGTGACACAATGGTGGTGGCAGTGTTGGTGGTGATGGATGGTGGGCATTAAAAAATTAAGACTATAAAATATATTAAAAGTATATTTATCCATTATAAGGAATTGATAAAAGCTTTGCTAACTAACATTTTTAGCATTAAGTGATATGTGACTTGCTATTCAACAAAAAAAAATCAGAATCTCAAGATTCTGTGTTCGGTGATCCAAAAAAAAAAATTCTGTGTCCAATTTCGGTCTCTCTTCCCCCTCAACTGAGTAGTAATCTTGATACGCATCTAGTTCAGATTGCACCCAATTAATATTGAGCCTATTTAGAGCTATTTTTTTAGGTAAAAAACTATGACTTGAAAATTTCGAAAAAAAAGTTAGAATAAAAAAAAAATTAAAAACCATTTGGTGTGTTCTTTAAAAAACTAAAAATATTGAAAAAAAAACTGAAAAGGTTGAAAAAGTTTGTTTGAAGTGATTTTCTAATTTTTTTGGTTTTTTGTGTCAAAAATAAAAAATAATTATATGTATGTATAGATTATACATATTAGTTCCGAAAATATAAATTTCAAATTTTTTTACATCACTAATAATATTTTATAAATATAAAAAATTAAAAAATTATAAGGGAGCTGCGATAAAAACTCCAAAAAAAGACAAGAAAAAATCATAAAATCAATTTCTTAAATCAATCTAAATAAGTTTTTTGGGTCCAAAAAACTACTACATAAGCTAATAAAAATGTCAAGGTCCAAATAAACCTAACTTATTTTATTTTAAATCCCTTAAAAACTACCTATTTAAGCTAATTCCAAACAAGTCTATTGTCACTTGTCACATTTATCTTTACTAGAGAAAATTTGATTATCATTTGTTTTTTCTTTTTCTCCTATGTTCAAGCAATAACTATGAGCATGTGACTTGTGCATATCTTTCCCAACAAATAAAAACTCCATTTTATTGAGGGTCTTGGTGCATTGAAACCGAATCCAATTTAGGAATTCGAGTTCAAACAAATCTAACACCAAATTTCAGTTCAAATTTTGGAATATTAAAATAAATTCAAATTTCAAGCTAACTTGTAGAATTAGAACTACGAGCAAACAATACTCAAAATGAATCCAAACTCATATTGAAGTAGGAGTTCAGGTTGAGGATTTTATAACGAGCTACGTCTCTCTCTCTCTCTCTCTCCACACATTAACATCTTGTTGTAATTGTCTTATATAAAATGTAAAGCAGTGATAATATTTAAAGAAATTCAAGACTAGAACTTGCTCAACCAAAATAGGCTGACATTTATAGAGGTCATCCTTTTTGGTCTCATGACCCACCCTAAGGGCCTAATTGCTTCAAGCAACAAAAGTCTTTTTAGCATATAGAGCAATAAAAATGAAACTTTCTTTGAAGTTCTAAGGTACATTCGTCAATTATAAACAAAAAATATTAAGCATATATACAACTTGTGCAATGTAACTCTAGATCATTATGTGTAATCAATTAGTAAAAATGATAGATATTTGAAGACCTATGGAAGATATATTCATTACAAAAATATCGATTCACTCAACTGTCACTTCTATTTCTACAATCTTTGTAGAATTACAATTAGGTAGAGACAAGGTGCTCTCNATGAATATCACAAAAGAAGCAAGCTACCAAGCCCACATTCACACCCTTTCATTTTGCCAAAACTTCACTAACAAAGTTAAACAGCTTATGCAGTTATTTTGGTTTGGGGAAGGTACTTAGGCATTTATAAACTCGTGTCCCAGCCGCGTGGAGATGGAATATAAAACTAAGCTGCAGTGTTATATTGTTGTACCACAAATGTAACCTACCTGTACATTGTAATTCATAGGATACAGTGAAGTATGTTCAAAATTAAGTATCAACAAAAAAGTTCCCCGTACACAGCCTCACAATGTTTACTTTTACTTTAGCATCCAGGACTTGCCAATCGACTACTTCAAAAGAGTACAATTGAATTACAAGGCACCATCGAAAATCACCTAGCAATATTCACATTCACCAAAACATACTGGAAAAAGAAGATTGGCACTCTGAATGTAGTGTAGCCTGATGACATGCCATGGCGGTTAAAATTACTGTTTTCTCTAACTTGCAAAGATCAAGATTTCTAGATAGTTTATTTCAATAGATCTCATCCATATGTCTGAGAATAGATATGAAATACATTCACAGCTAACAGTCAATTCCTGAAGTTTGATTAAGTATCCACGACTTGACCAATGGGGTTAAGTTTCAATTTCCTTGCTTTTCAAACATTTTCTCCGCAATCAACCATATGTAGTAATACATACCAAATTCTTTTTGTTATGTTCAGATCATCAAATCCTTTCGACATTGTAACCTCATCAAAAGACAAGAAGAACAGTTCTTATAGTGAAAATGCTACAAAACCTCGCAAAGCACCTAAATTTAATTTTCAACTGAACAATTATAAAAACATATGCATAATAAATTTGAGCCTCAACATACCAAGAGTGATTTTAGGGACAGGTTCATTGCTGGCGGCTTTAGCTCGCTCCGTCGCTTCAAGCAAAAGCTGTTGAACCTGAGACAACCGCGCCGACGCCTTCTTTCTGGTTTCGCCGGATTCTGAAGCCGCAGAGCACCGAATTGAGCTATAGCTGACTCGCGAAATGAGGCGGAGGGTGGTCCCACCAAAGTACAAACTCGGCGGTGATGAATGTAATATGCGCACCCTTGCCAACGGAAGCGATGACCAGAATAGTTCTCTGGCAATCAAGCTTGTTGTGGTTCTGAATGCTGTCATTTTCCTGCCAATCAAANTGCAAACCTCGGTTTTAAGCGACCAAGGGGACTCTAACTCAAACCCTGTGCATTCGCACCCCAACCCTTGTTCGACCACTGAACCAACCCGAGCAGTGGCAGTGGCAGCATATTACTACTGCATACAATGTTCAGTACCTGTAGTTTCTCCAAAGCATCTTCAATGTTACCCCTGAAAGGAAAAAGTTAGCATGTAACCATTCAGCTTTGTCAGAACACAACACGAAAGGATGATCAAAAGAAAGAGTTTGCAGAAGTTCACTTCTGTGTTCTAGTTTTTGTTGAAGAAATCACAAGCTCCCCATCTTTGTTGATACGATTCTTCTCCTGCACATAACTAAAAAAGTGAGAAACATAATGTGACATTGTATGGAAATGTGGAAAGGGGGTATATATGAGGTTCATTCACATCAAACCATCCTTATTTGCTTGAAACCAGAGTNCAAAGTCTCAAAATTGTGTGGAAATGTGGAAAAGGGTATATATGAAGTTCATTCACATCAAACCATCCTTATTAGCTTGAAACCAAAGTTATGGCCCCAAAAATAAAATAAACAAAGCAACGAATAAATCAAACACTAGAGTAATAAGCTCTATAGCTTGAGTGCCTATAACACTTCAAAACAAAAGTACAGTTTATGAGTATCTAATCTCCACACGCGCCCAAGAAAAAATAATAAATCAAGATCTACATCTATAACCCCAAAAACATTCCATAGCCTAGCTGCATGAGAAGTGGAAAAGGGTCAATGCATCAAAATTTCCAGGCAGTATGCATGATACAAGAAGTAGAGTAGACCATCTGATGTAGATTGTAATAAGGAATTAGGNGCATCAAAATTTCCAGGCGGTATGCATGATACAAGAAGTAGAGTAGACCATCTGATGTAGATTGTAATAAGGAATTAGGTAAGCTAAGTTATGAAGGTGGTGTGCGAGAACAACAAACAAAGAAAGTTATGAAGGTAGTGTGTGGGAACAACAAATAGAAAAAGTTTAGGTTTTTTTTTTTTTGTTTTTTTTGACTTACCAACAAATATAAATACTAGTCACCAATTCTCAACAAAGAGAACTTGTACCTGATGTTAGATGCAATTCGAAGAGGAAACTTGACAATTTAAAGGATGATCCCACAAATTCTGGAACTTTCTAGAGTGTTTTTGCTATTTTTTGAACTTATGGAGTGATGTTTCTGTAATTTTCTAAATCTGTTGGGATGTTTTTGGAAATTCTGGTTTATATTACTACAATTTACTAGAACTTTTGGAGTGATTCTATAATTTTCTGAATCTTCCGGGGATGTTTCTGTAATTTTAAAACTTCTGGAGGTTGTTTCTACAATTTCAGAGTTCCTGGTGGTATATCTTGTTCTCCACCTGAACAAAGCCCTAGCTACCTAGAAAAAATTCCAACAACAACCCAGACCTGCAATGGATGGTGGCTGACGATGAACAGTGGCCAGTCTTCTTCTTTACCGCACCAATAGGCTGAAACCCTAAGTGCCAAGCTCAGCGACGGCGCACGAAGAGAAGGACAACGGCAATGATAATGGCACCTACGATGACGAATCGACGACAAAGATGCAAGTGGCAACGATGAAGTCAAATACAACGAGTGCTACGGGAAATGATTTCGAATTTGATTCTTTTTTTTTTTTTTACTAGTTCTGCTAGAACGAGAATGATGAACAGTAATGATCTGGCGAATTTTTATTTTTTTTAGATGAATAGTTTTGTTGAGATTTTTGTGATTTATACAAATCGAAGTTGAGCTATGATACCAAATTTATGTAGATTGTGTTAGGGAAGAATTAAAGATGAGAAAGGGAAAAAGAAAGGGATAAGAAGAGAAGAAGAAGGAGATGAAAAAAAGAGATAGAATTTGAGAAGGAAGCAAAATATTCAATATCAGTCGTTAATAATAATCAAAAGTATCCTACAATAAATATGTATCCCCTATATATATAAGGAGATCACAAAGCCTAAAATAAATAAATAATGACCAATAAATCCTCAAAAGTTAAAGGAAAATACTTAAAAGATAAATATTAATTACTNATAAAGAGTTCACAAATCCTATATATATAAGGAGATCACAAAGCCTAAAATAAATAAATAATGACAAATAAATCCTCAAAAGTTAAAGGAAAATACTTAAAAGATAAATATTAATTACTCTCATGATTAATCTAAAATATCTATCCAATTCCTACACGATTTCCATCACCATCATTATCAGACCACGGACATCTACAACCAATCATTTGCAAAATAAAAAAGTCCATCCAACTTACCAACTTTTCATAGGAAACCTCATCTACTTATCAAATAAGTGGCACATTAGGTGGAAAGATAAGAAATGGGATTAACCACCCTTTTTAAACATAAAACGTGATAAGCAATGTTGTTTACTAACCATTTGTATAATCTTCTCCCTCACCCTTTCACTTAACCAATGTGCATTTTTAACATTGAACCGCATATCTACCTTGGTGTTCACTGAAATTAAAATAAATGAAATTAGGATACAAGCTCTGGTTCATAAAGCCAACAATTTAAAGACAAATAGCATGCAGATGTAAAGAAAGAGATCCAAATTACCTTTGTTTACATTTTGACCACCTGGCCCACCACTTCTTGCAAAGTTCACTGTAACATGGTCTACATAATAGCTACAACAAATTAAAAGTATATCAAGAGCAAAGAAATAACATGTCTAAACTACTACATATACTATTTTACCAAGCATGGGTATCGATGTCAGAGGTTGCATAACAAAGCTAGACATCCTTTCCACCCCCAATGAAATAGAAGAATAAAAAAGTCTTTAGGTTTTAATTTAGTAGCATATCATCAGATTGAACTAAGAGAAAGAGATTATGGAATCCTATGATTTACATTAAGTCAATTACACAATTTAGAACACAACACTTATATCTGCAAATACCTTTCATGAATATCACAAAAGAAGCAAGCTACCAAGCCCACATTCACACCCTTTCATTTTGCCAAAACTTCACTAACAAAGTTAAACAGCTTATGCAGTTATTTTGGTTTGGGGAAGGTACTTAGGCATTTATAAACTCGTGTCCCAGCCGCGTGGAGATGGAATATAAAACTAAGCTGCAGTGTTATATTGTTGTACCACAAATGTAACCTACCTGTACATTGTAATTCATAGGATACAGTGAAGTATGTTCAAAATTAAGTATCAACAAAAAAGTTCCCCGTACACAGCCTCACAATGTTTACTTTTACTTTAGCATCCAGGACTTGCCAATCGACTACTTCAAAAGAGTACAATTGAATTACAAGGCACCATCGAAAATCACCTAGCAATATTCACATTCACCAAAACAAACTGGAAAAAGAAGATTGGCACTCTGAATGTAGTGTAGCCTGATGACATGCCATGGCGGTTAAAATTACTGTTTTCTCTAACTTGCAAAGATCAAGATTTCTAGATAGTTTATTTCAATAGATCTCATCCATATGTCTGAGAATAGATATGAAATACATTCACAGCTAACAGTCAATTCCTGAAGTTTGATTAAGTATCCACGACTTGACCAATGGGGTTAAGTTTCAATTTCCTTGCTTTTCAAACATTTTCTCCGCAATCAACCATATGTAGTAATACATACCAAATTCTTTTTGTTATGTTCAGATCATCAAATCCTTTCGACATTGTAACCTCATCAAAAGACAAGAAGAACAGTTCTTATAGTGAAAATGCTACAAAACCTCGCAAAGCACCTAAATTTAATTTTCAACTGAACAATTATAAAAACATATGCATAATAAATTTGAGCCTCAACATACCAAGAGTGATTTTAGGGACAGGTTCATTGCTGGCGGCTTTAGCTCGCTCCGTCGCTTCAAGCAAAAGCTGTTGAACCTGAGACAACCGCGCCGACGCCTTCTTTCTGGTTTCGCCGGATTCTGAAGCCGCAGAGCACCGAATTGAGCTATAGCTGACTCGCGATATGAGGCGGAGGGTGGTCCCACCAAAGTACAAACTCGGCGGTGATGAATGTAATATGCGCACCCTTGCCAACGGAAGCGATGACCAGAATAGTTCTCTGGCAATCAAGCTTGTTGTGGTTCTGAATGCTGTCATTTTCCTGCCAATCAAACCCTAGAAGAGCGTGTGAGGATTAGGAAGCTAATCTCCTGTCTTAGACAATTGAAGTCCAGAGAGAAAAGGAAATTTTCGGAAATTTTTGAATTTTATTAGTCACCACAAATATTATTCTGGATGAAAATAATACCGTAAATCATAAATTTCACCTAACCCTAACAGTTATTCAAATGTAACAAAGATCATCTTTAAACTCAGAAGTCATGTGTTTGAATTACTAACTTCTAAAAGTCAAGTTATGAACAGAGAGAAGATTAACTAAGATTTGCATAAATTAACTCGAACATCCCTAACCATCAGATCAAAAAAAAAAAAAAAAATTCACGTCATCGTGTTCATATAACTGATAGAATAATATCTCAAATATTATTTTTCTTTCAATGGGATCCTAACTATTGTTCAATAATCAAATAATAGGTTAAATTCAATTTCCAAATTACACCTTTTGGGTGCTTGAAAGAATAAAAAACAGTCAATAAATGCATGAAAGATGTTAGAAATTTCATTAGTTGAGTAAATAATTTTGGAACATTACTATGTTTAATAAAAACTAGTTAGTGCATATGTGTGTTGTATGTGAGTCATTTGAGGATAAAATATTATATATTGAATTCGTGAATAGAGATGTTAATTGAGTCAAGCTTTGTCATATTGAGCCCGAGCCTGGTGAGCTTATTTTTCTAAACGAGTCTAAAAAATTGTTCAAACTCAGTTCATTTAGAACTCAAGCTGAGTTGAGTTTTGCGAGCTTGAGCCGAACCCAAAAAATTGTTCAAGCTTAACTCGTGTAGATTACGAGTTGAGCTCGAGCTGAGCTTTATCTAAGTCAAGCTCGAAACAAGTCCGTGTAGCTCGTCTCGATTAACACCTCTATCCAAAAACCATTTTTCCAAAAGTCCAACCCAAGTAAAAATCGATTATTGGTTACTAAATTATATTGGTTACTAAATTATATATCCCACAACAGCAACAAAACTAATGTATTCACATCTAAAACGCATATGTTTCACAGTTTTATTATTTTTATTTGAATCACCACAGCAAAAAGAGAATAGCGGCTTTAATTAGGAGAAGAAATAAAAAATTCAAGAACATATTTCTACTCAAAGACATGTTAAAAGAAATGGCATGATCTTTAAAAAGATGGCAATAATAAGATGTGCCATACGATAGTAGATTATGTTCAAAGAATTAAAATCGAAAGAAACTTACTCATGAAATGACAAAATTCAATCTTAAAATGATGAACCACGGTGCATGAAATGGCAACTAAGCCAGGATTTTTCCAAGAGGTTTATGAGTAGATGCTTTATCTATTATCGGGAAGCTTTATGTAGCAGTTCTATCCATTTTTGATTACTATTATAGGTGTAAATTAAAAAACTATGGTGTTAATTAAATAATATAAGGTCTATAATTATGAATTTTGATTTACACGCTTCGTGCCTGGACATTTCTTATTTTCTTAACCCTATTACGTTTTATCATGACCTCAAATTTTCTTTTCCTAGTATCTAAAATAAACTCTTTTCTAGTTATTAGAGTAAAGACAATCAATTTTTAGCAAATTAAGATAATCTTCTATAAGTTGGCAAGATTTTCAAGCATGCACATATGAGTAAGTAAAAAATGTGTAAAAGGGCATACCTATTTTTCTATACCTCCCATACCAATCAGAATTTGTTTTCAAACATTAAAAGTAAACCTATATTTGGAGTAAAAATATAATTAATATGGAACTTAAGTAATAAAATCACAAAAAAGAGAGAATTGATATTAAATTAATATATAAAAAATAAGAGACTTTTTCTCTACTGATATGTGTCAGCAACAATATTGTAAGGAAACAACCCATGAGAAAAAGGGAAAAAAATCGAACGAGTCTAAATTAAGGCCATATATGTGAGAAGACAAAGTAAATAAGCAGAGCAAAATTTTAATGAACAAAAATGAACCTTTTATTATGAGAAATAGTTCAAATAATTTTTAGCTACACCGAGATCAGAAGTGAAAACTGTTTTGAGTGGCAACCTAACGAGAGTTTTTATAGATAAAAAGAGAGACAAAGTTGTGCTTTTTTAAGTACAAGAAATTTTTAGGTTTTTCTTTAAAATCTTTTAGAATTAACTACAATTTTCTAGAGTTTCTGCAATTAGTCCTAATAATTTAGGATCGATTCTACTTCTACATGCTAAGATTGATCCTAAAATTGTTATATAAATCCCAAAAATCACCAAGAGTTGTAACTAGAATCTTAAAGGTTATTTCAAATACCTTAAAAAGTGATAATTTTTTTTTTAAATTGATCCTAATATTTTAGAATCGATCCTAACTTTGCTATTATAACTAAGTCTTTCAAAAATCATAAATTTTTGTGTCATACCTTGTTTAATATCGAACTCGAATCCTATGGGCTAATCAAATTTCAATACATTTTATTTCAAATGAGTACATATCACTGAGAAAGAATTTGGAGATAGAGGTTGGGAGTTACACAGACTCAACTTGAGTTCAAATTAAAAATGAGTCTAGTCTAAAAATCTCGGATTGTTGTTATAATAGAAACGATTAGTAGCAACACATTATACTGAATTTTTTTACGAGTAGTAAATCTTGTCTTAATTTATTTGTAACCATTAATCTTAAAAGTAAAATAAATAATAAAACATAAAAAAACTGTACATTTATTTTACAAGTATGGTTTAAAAAAATATAGAGTTCTGAATGGTCAAGTGGGAGAAAAACCAGTCCTGAAAGTCGTAAAGGAGAGACGATTAGAGGAAATCTGGGGTTGCTCCTGAGAGAGAGAGAGACGGAGGGGCTAGACTGTGGGGATGTGTTTGAGAATAGCCCCCAAGTCCAAGGTCAGGTGCTTAATCAGAAAAAGAAAACATCTATACCAATAAATAAAAAATAAAAAAATCATAATAACCACAACCCAGTTCAGCGTCTTTTTTAAGAATTAGGGGAAGAAACAGTTTCAGAGCTTTATAAAAAAATTGTAGAGATGGAGAAGAAAGACGAAATCTAAAAAAAAATTAAAAGGAGAAGGAATGAAAACAATGACTAACCGGGTGGAGCTCTCCGTTCGTCGGTCGGTAATGTTCGTCAATTTTTGTCGAAGATAAGAGAGAGACGAAGGGCAACGGGTTACAAGAAATTGATTGCTAGATACACAGGTTAATTGCAAATTATATCTCAAAAGATTTCTTGAATTTCAATTCATACCTTTAAAGATTAAAAATATGTAATTTATCTATTTAATTTTAAACAATAAACTGCACGGCAATTAGCTTCAGCTACACATCGATAAATATTTACATGTGTAAGTTAAGATTTTTTATTTTTAAGAGTACAAATTAATAAGTGCGCGATAAGGTGGGTGGGGTTTGTGTCTTTTTGATACTAACAATTGGTTGCCCATTAATAATTTAAATAATAATTTTTTTGTTAAATTTATGAAAATATAAATATTATGTATAATTAAATTAAATGATAAATTTAGTGTCAACAAATTAATCTATGTTATTTCTTGTTAAACCAAATTATTAAAAAAAAATATGGCATAATTTTATTTTAGAATTCCATTTGATAACTATATGTATATAACAAATATAATATAGATTCGTCTTTACTTCTTCGTATAAATATAAGCATAAAAATGAAAAAAAAATTATAAGTAAAGGAGTTCAAAAGAATTTAAAAGTCAAATACTACTTATAAAAGAGTTCAAAAGAATTTGAAAGTCAAATTATGTATAAAAATAAAAATTATATGAATGTATAAAGATATAATTGATATTGTAAAAGTTGGGCTAGTAATACATAACGTGCATTACACGCACGTAAACATATTTAAATAATAAATTTTTATTAAACTTATTAAAAATAAAAATTATATTTATAATTGAATTGAATGAATAAACTATGTATCGGCGAATTAATTTTTAATTTTTACTAAACGTAATTATTAATCTATACATGTATTATAGAATAATTTGAGTAATTAGAGCTATTATTGTAATTCAAAACCTAAACGTATAAGAAGAAGTAGAGTGAATAATTAGAGACCTAATGCTATATAATAAGAAGAGTTTTAATAGGACATAGAAGGAAAAATGTTGACTTTAATAAGGATATGTGGGGTAAGATTAATTTAACATTATTAAATATGGATGAAATAAGAAATCAAAAGTTTTCACATATACCGACATTTATTGCTAGTGACTTTTTTTGATGAAATATTTGATAAATACATTAAAAAATTTAATTAAGTAGCTACATTATATATTATTCATATTTATAATACTTAAATTATTTGTATTCTATTGATAACTATAAACATCCAATAAATTTATTTTCTATAATTCTTTCATTCTTGCTATCAAAAAGTAAAGTTTATAGATTTTTTTTTTCGATTTTTTTTCTTTTTGTCTTATTTTGTTTTTATTTTGTGCATCAGTAATTTTTTATCAAATTATTTTAATTGTGAATGAAGATATGAGATAAATATATCTATTTTTGGGCATTGGAGATGATATTGTATCAATAATGTTATCAACGTATATTAATATTGGATTTTTGAAAAAAAAAGAATAATATTTTTATATAACATGTTGAAGCATAACATGATCATTCAAAAAATTTGTAAAGATAGAGAAATTTGATTGATCTATTAGAAATTAGTTTGTTATTTAAATATAAAAGAAATATATTGATAATTTGTATATTTAAATACAAAAAAACATATTAGCTTTTATAATTTTTTATAAGAACAAAATAGTAAATCAAAATTTTTTCACATTAAAATATTTTTATTAGTAATATAGATATAGATATAGATTTCTTGCAGCGAGAATATTTGAAGAAAAAAATTGCACTTTATTTGCTATCATCCGTCAGTCGTAAAGGTGAATTTGAAAAGCATAATAACAAAATATCAGGCTGGATTGAAATGAAAACTACAAATAAGGCCATGAAAAAACAACAACGACAACAACATCAACAAAAATTCATCCGGCAGGGATACATCCGTAATTATGCTGGTTTTTTTTTCTTCTGGGCTGCTGTGGTTGTGACTACGCTAGGGTGCAGCTGCCTTCACTTTCTCAATCAGATTAGCACCGTCTTGAACTGTTGCAATATTCTCAGCTCCTCCTTCTCCAATCGACATGCTAAACTTTTTTTTCAGAGTCATCATTATCTCAACTTGTTGCCCGAATTCATTGCAATTTCGCTTTTGTTTTTAACCCTATCTAAACGAATCGTATTTAAG